TTCTAATCAAATTAAACTAGAACATTAGCTTTCTTAGGTCTTAATTTCAATTTTGCATGGCCGAGCGCCTTCGTTTGCATTATTACCGTGTTGCACTTTAAGTACAATAGATGAGAATATTCGTTGCAACGTGCTACCGCGCCTGCAGCATGCATAATTAGGGAGTCGCAATATATTTATAATTATCTAATTGCGAGGTAAGAATACTTTTGAATCTAACTGTAATGTTATCAAGAAAAAAGTGCAATTTATTATATCTAAATATTGCACTAAAATTTATTTTCATCAAAGTATGTTTATTGCATGAAATATATCCTCTGATAAAAATATTCGTAGAAAAGAGTATTTGCATGAGATATCGAATCAAGTAAATTATAAGATACTTTGAAGCAAATAAATAAATGATTCGATCTTTTATTTTATATATATATACACAAGTTTTAGTCTTATATTATAATTTCATCAATAAATGAAACCTGTACGACAAAATAAGAAATATAGGTATATATTTTTATGAAGCGAAGCGCGTTAAAATTTACTAAGAACCATTTATACAGAAATATGTGCTAATGAGATATCGTGAAGAGAAAAAAGACGTGAAAGAAATGGAAAAGTATTACGACAACTGCAGTGTCATTCATTATCGCCGTATGACAATGCGACGATAAAGGGACTAGATATGAAAATTAATTGTTTCGCAGTTTCTGCCGCATGATAATCGAGCATACAGTGCGCAGTACAAAATATATTATAATGTAAACGTGTCTGGCAGCATGGCATTTTAATTATACATCGCAATTAAAGTCTAAGAATATATTCATTTTATTCTAATGTTTCTTCCTTATAATTTTTCCAGTTGACTAGATAAATTAGAACTCAAAAATAACTTTTAATAGTACAAAATCTTGATTTTCCAGTTACCGTCTTTAACACTTTTTTTATTAATACTTTTAAAAAATTTTTTTGTTGAATATTTCCACTGAAATTAATGTCAATAGTTAATGAGTTATGTAACGCACTATAATCAGAATTTTTCCAGTACTTCTCTACATCGTTAAATGGAATCCTACGGCGTGAAATGCATTTAAGGAGAGCTTTTGCTCGAACGAGAACATATATATATATATATAATATACATATACATATATATATATATATATATATATGTGTGTGTTTCGCGATATTCCGCGCACATGCTGCACCAATATACATATATTACACGACAAGTTAGTTGCGGTGAATTATAATATGCGTTATAAAATGCGTATTGCGAACGCTGAGACTCTGCTTCCTCAACTAGAAATTACTGCACCAGAGCCAGGAGTATTAAGGCATTACGGGCGTTCCTTGGCCGGCAAATGTCTGAGCGAACGAGCACATTCAACCGTGATATAAAATAATGTAATATATTATAAAAGGGAAGAACGTTAAAACGCGATAATATCGCTTCATTACGAGAAACGTGCTACGATTATCGCGAGAATGATTCGCGCGTTCTCGTTAATGTCATTTAAACGCGCCGCTTAATGTTGGTCGCGCCAAGTTAATCGCATTGCGTTTACCATGCAATATTCATTTTTGAAGAACATCGTGCCTCCCCGACCGCGAGATTACGATATTATCATCTTTCCGTTCAACACTTAAAGTCTCATCATTATTCAGATGTTTAATATGACTTTTTATTTTACATATTTTTTTTATTAGATATATATTATATAAAAATCTAGAGCTGTAGGCTTTGAAGGTGTTTAGCGATCAGGAAAACTGGGAATTGTCAGGGAATTTGATTAATTTGGAATTGTCAGAGAAAAGTCAGGAAATTTTACTATTTATCTGGATTTTTTCACATCATTCTACATCTGTCTCAATAATTTGAAATTTTTTTCAATAAATATAACATTTTCTTGACTTTCAGTATGCTAATTTTCTGTGTTATTTTATTTCAATGTATTATATATATATATTTCGAAATATATTATAACATTGCTCAAGAATTATAATATTGTTCAAGAACTTTATTTTAATTTATTTTTTTATTAAAAATTAATATATTTTATTAAAAATGTTTTATTTAAAAGTTTTATTGTGATATTAGATACTATTAAATATATTAAAATATGTGCATTATAATTTGTTAAAATATATTAAAAATAAAATTTGATATGGTATAAATAAAAAAGGTGATTATTTAAATAGTTTATATATAGTGACATGTTTAATTTCGATACATAATGCAGATTGTATAATTCATTAAAATTTTTGTTTTAACTTTCGAATCTTTTCATTGTTCACAAAAATATCTGAAGGATTTCATGATTTAAGATTGAATTGATTTATCATATAAACATATGCAAATGATATATTTGGAAAAAATAATACTAAAAAGTCAGGGAGAAAATAAATTTCTGGTCTTGGAAAATCTGAAAAATCAAAGAATTTTTCATTGAGTCTGCTGGACACCCTAGCTTTAGTTAAGACTTTAGTTTTGGATGCAATAAATCATCCAACGAATTAAAGTTCGTTGATTAATTAATTTATTTGAATGAGTGTGATAAATTATGCGTCTTGCAAATCCAACACTGCTTACGTATGATAATACAAATTACCATGTATACGTCTTTGCGTCAATTTGCATCAATACGACGACCATTAATGTGCATTAGTGCGCACTACTTCATCCGACTCACATCCGAATTCGCAATAAGCTATCTATTCTGCCGAGCTCCACGTTTTCATCCCATCTGTCAAATCGCGAATACATCATAAGACAATCGGATTATATTATATGTATAATAACTGATTTTATTTCTGCTCGTCTCGTTGCATTAAAATTTCAAATTTTGTACGATTAAAAATTGTCATATTCATAATGCGTTTAAAGCAGTTTCTAAAAATAAAAAAAAATATATATATATATATAAATTCTTAACGAAACGTCAAATTAGCGATACGTTTGTTGAAGCGCCTTGTGACGATAAAACGAACTGAAACGCGTTAATGGACGTTCGGTGTCCGCTCATGAAAGCTAGATAAAATTCTAAACATTCGGAACATCTAGTACCGTAATGCCTTTATCCTTCGTCGACGCGTTCTTAACATATGCGCGCAATGTGTGTTTCGCGAGGGGTTGATAACACGCCACCTGGCACGTTGTTATATCTCTATAATTCGTAATAAAAGTTCGTCTCCGAAATCTCCATGTAGACCAAAATTTTTTAAAATAATTCGCGACGTATGTAATAATCAAAAATATTTTTACAAAAAAAATAAACCAAAAATTTTTCTTTATATCAAAATTGTAAAAATATTTTCGATTATTGTATATACGTTAGGAATTATTTTATGTATAAAAGAATGAAAAAAAAGTTTCTCCATGGATATTATTATATATATGTATGTGATATAAGCTCTATTTGCTAGCATAATAATGTTTCTTTAATCTAGATTTACATATCTTTTTCATTGTGCAAATTAACAGAATATTGGATTTGAAAATTTATTTCCACACATGCAGACGCCATTATATTATTATATTGTCATATCGTTGCATACTTTATTTTAATAGCGAGTGTATATTATAGTATGTCATAGCGTATAGAATAATTTTATGCTCTCGAATATATACGATATTAATATCGATATTAATATTGATGAAAGTAATGACAATATAAATTTTATTACGAATGTGCACATGCAACGATTGAATTACGTTTATGTCAATCTGTAATTATCGGGAGATATATAACATAAAGCAATTATACGTACGCTCCGGAAATAATACAGGCGCCATACATACGTTCGATCTTGTTTGAAACGCTTTTATAACATGATATCTCGTGACGACACATGAAAAGTACGCTTTAATGCATGATACGACGAGTTCAACACACGAACGTTTAGTTTTTAGAACGGGAAACCCTCTTATGAATAATGTATGCAAGAGGCATGCATCCCTTGCACATGTGCAATTTGCACACGCAGTCTTCACTTCATTTCTTTTTATCTGCAATCGTAGAATGTATAGCACGGCACGCAATTAGGAGTGATAATTATAATCGATAATACAAAGCTGGAATATTAAATGCAATTCTCAAACGTGAGTACGTGTTAGGAAAAAAAAAGAAAAATCTTATTAATATTATTTTTACGGTATTTAAGCTTAAAGCCTAAGAGGAAATTGTCGCGATTCGAATGAAATATCGAAAATATTACTTAAGAACGGGTATTAAGTTATCAAGTCGAATTATCAGAACACGATAAATTATATACGAAATTAATTTGTCGAGTCTTGCAAAAAAAAAATTAGCGAATAAATGCCGCACTAAAAATTAAAAATTGTTAACTTGACTAAACCTTTCTACTAAATTACTATTTTATTAATTGAACATATATTAGTTTTTAAGTCAAATATATGTTTTTTTGTGAGATCAATATACTTAATTTAAATATTTTTATATGTTCAATTAACAAAATAATATTTAGTTGAGAGGTTTAATCAAGTTAATTTTTTTAGTGCACATGTATAATTTATTATGTTCTACTAATTTAGTTTATTTAAAAGATGAAATGTTTTAATACATTTATAAATATACTTTTAAATACAATTATTTAAAAAATTTTTTTATTATATACTATATACTTATACTATTTGTAATTGCTTCAATATTAAGTATATAGTATATAGTATATAGTATATAATAAAAAAATTTTTTAAATAATTGTATTTAAAATTTCATTTTTTAAATAATAGTAAATAATCTTTTTGTAATTGCTTCAATATTAAGTATATAGTATATAATAAAAAAATTTCTTAAATAATTGTATTTAAAAGTATATTTATAAATGTATTTAAATGTAAATGTCAAAGAGTATCTTGTATTTAAATATTTTGTTTCGAAGTATCTGCCCAACCCTGACTTATAATAATATATTTTATGCGCGCGTGTCTCGATAATGTGTCTCGATGTTCTAAATAATGCAACTCTCGATGGAATAGTTACCTCGTAAGCTCTTCGGCTACCGCGAAGACTAAGCCTTTGACTCCATTCTCGTTTCGGGAAATCCATGCCGTATTTTCTCCCGTGTCACCAGGTCTTTTGCCTCCAGAAAGCCCTCCGGGGCAACAATGGACCGCTTTCTGTTACTTCATGTTTCTCCTGTACAAAAAGAAAATTACTATAGTAAGATTCTTCCGAGGAGTCACTGGGGATTATAGTGCACAAAATATTACCCTGGATATGGATTTCCTTTAAATTATATCTCAGAATACCTAATACTACCTTATTATTTAAAATTACCTCAAATTTTCTAAGATTATCCCAGATTTTTCCAAATATCTTCGAGAACATCGATTTATCAATAATTTTCACTAACTTCAAAAATTCAAGATTACCTTAGATTACCTCAAACTATCTTAAGAATACCTAGAATTACCTACAGATTATTTGACATTATCCTTAGATTACTTATTAGATTGCCCAAGATTACCTAAGATTATTATAGATTATTTATAGAATTACTAAAAAAATACACTGTAAAAAAATTTTGTAAAATTACATTAAAAATATGTAAAATTACATAAATAATAAATGTAAAATTACACGATAAATAATGAAAAGGTAAACATTTTTATTATTTATCGTGTAATTTTACACTTATTATTTATGTAATTTTACATATTTTTGTGTAATATATTACATATTTTTTTACAGTGTACCTTGGATTACCCAAAATTTCCTTTGGATTACCTAACCCTTGTGCGAAAAATTACCAACCTCGGATTCTTCCTTTCTCTCTCTTATATACATTTATATCTCTCTCGACGTCGACATGTTTTTGCGATCGCTTATTCGACTAATTACAGTGAGTGCTTCGATCATGTCGTAAATTAATTAATTAATACTCGATGCACACAACTTAACGTTCAAGGTAACGTCGTCAATATATAATGATTCGCGTACTATTGCGAAAGAGCTTTTAGATATATGTATATACCTCGTGTCTCGTTAAGTTTTAAGTAGCGCGATACAAAGTTACTGCGGTATAATATACATATATTCGCACCATATCTGTGCATTTCGCATTTTCTTTGCAAGTATACTATAGTTTTGCAGGTATCTGACGATGAAAAAGTTATGATGAAAGCTTACCTAAAAATAGAATGTTTTCAAGCGTGATTGCAATAATGCGAGATGCAATATGCGCGAGACGCTAAAGCCATTTCCATCAAGTCTTTAGCGTTTCTGGAGTAACATTATATTTTATTACCGCGAATCTGCTTTCCGAGAGTTTATTCAGTACGATAAGCGTTTTATTTCTTTCGAAAAACTACGATGCTGAGGATATTTCTATATAAAGATCCTCTGAAATATTCGTGTAATCTCTCTTTATTAATCTCTTTTTCTAGACCGTTGAAAATCATTTGGAAAGATTGCTGAATAAAATTGCTCGAGAAAGAAATCATTAAAAATTCGACGAATAATTGATAAATCTCGAAAAATATATAGTAATTAATTCGAGCAGCCGTGTTTCGCGATAACAATTTAATTTAATTTTTCATTGTCACGTATGTGTATATAGTCTCGCAAATTCCATCTAATTTTCCGCAGACATAACATAATCGTTGTTGAAAGGACTGACCATCCCGAGGGACACGTGTCATTTCTCGCACCATGGGACGATTTTACTCGAAGAGAAATTTCACTCGTTGTAACTATAGAGTTCACAACACCCGTATCGCGTCTAGACAAATAATTTTCAGGTTTCTCTACCGCTTATGTTCACGACCAAGGGAAAAATCCTAGCTGCGCACACGATAGAGAAAAAGAGATTAAGAGAAATTGTTTCGTCCGAGATAATAATTCTTCGATTTTTTTTTCTTTTTTTTTTCGAAATATCACGCGACGAGCTAAATATAATTATTACAGTAATAAACTTTATTTCCTCTTTCTTTATCTAACGACAGTTATATTTTCTAAAATTATTTTTTGAAATAATCATAAATTGTATTTTTTATCGAATATAATATTTTTTATAATTTATTTTTCTAAAAATTCCCCGATAAATATAAATCGAGAAATTCACGAACGATATCTAAAATCGTGCGTAGACGATAAAAAATATTTTTATGACCACGTATACTTATCTATCTGTAAAAAAATTTTTTACACGTGCCGATTTATAGCGGAATTACTGTTCTTGTGTATATAAAAATAATACACGTGTGTGATAATATTTGCCTTCTAACTGCGAATTTATTTGCGCCTCGTGCTGTATCTATCGATACTGTGTGTTAATTTCCGCAGTTTGAAATTCATAACGTCGCACTTTCGCGACCGGTGAATTAGCCGCAACAAATATAATTATTCCGACTGTCGTCGTGTAGTGGAATAAACTTCGGGAGAAATTGATTATGGGACGCGCATGATATTGTGATACTGGCGAAGCAATTATTAATACCGGCGACATACAACCTGATGCGTGTGTATTATGTTATATAGCGAAGTGCAAGAGATCGATAGGCGAAAGTAATTTATTGCCTCGAAATTGCAAATATCTCTCTTTGTCGGATGTCATTTTCCCGATTATTTTATTCACTTTTTCTATTTCTCGAACGCTTTTTTTCAAAAATTATTTTCGGAAAATCAAATTATATCGCGTCAAAATCTATTTATAACGATTTAATATGTCCTGGATTTTAACAAAAATATATATAGAACGAACGACTTATATATATAAAAGATGTCACGTATATATAATCTCAGAATCGACTTTGTTCAACAAATTTTTTTCGTTATTTTTCTTTCTATTTTATATTCTATATTGAAAAAAAATTTGTAAACTTGAGTAAACTTTTCAACTAAATATTATTTCATTATATTATAATATTCTTAATATTAAATATTATTTTGTTAATTAAACATATACAAATATTTAAATTGAATGTTACATGTATATTTGATTGAAATACTACGTTATAATATGTTCAATTAATAAAATAGTAATTTAGTTGAAAGGTTTAGTCAAGTTAACACATTTTTTTCAGTGCACTACACTGTAAAAAAATATGTAATATATTACACAAAAATATGTAAAATTACATAAATAATAAGTGTAAAATTACACGATAAATAATAAAAATGTTTACCTTTTCATTATTTATCGTGTAATTTTACATTTATTATTTATGTAATTTTACATATTTTTAATGTAATTTTACAAAATTTTTTTACAGTATAATTATTACGTCGCGTTTAATTTGAACTAAAAATCTGGCGATAATTTTTTTATCGCGACAAGAGATATATCGTTGAATCTTTTATCGTAACGATTATCGTCGATTTTCAAATTATTTTTATTTTCGTACGATTCGTCGATCCCGAAGGGAGTTAAGCGGACGTTTGTCGCTTAATCGGAAAAGGAAAGGCTGGCGTAGAGTACAGTACTAAATTCCATTAAAGTTTTCATTACTTTAGAACTTGCGACGGGGATGAAAAGTACGTCTCTCACCACGGGAATAACAGTAGATACGCGTTATAAAGTATTTAATGACTCGATATACTCGTTCTCGTTCTTTGTCTCGATGAAAACGGCATTTGATCGAAAGTGTCAAAGGCAATCGCAAAAATGTTGTACCTACAGTAGAAAAAGCGGCATTCGATTAAAAAGTAATTAAGAGGTTACACGAACAATTCCACGAATCGATCTATGCCGAGCAGTAGAAACGTAATTCGATGTATTCGGATATTTCGAATTTATTTGAAAATTAGAATCGCGTTCCGATATATTTATATCTCTTTTTTTTTTTTGTATCGCTCAATTTAGATATAAAATTTCAGAGATATACTCTGTATATTGGAAAAAAAAAAATTAACGAACGGAACGATGACACTAGATGAATGTGTCAAACTCGACGCAAGACTAAGTAGGATGCCAACGAGTTTCATCGTCAATTAGTGTAGTATACAGACTCGCTAATCACATTCACGAAGATATACATGAAAACTACGAACGCGCAGTAAAGCGCTTTCGTTGATGGTCTTACAAAAGAACAATTCATCTCGCGATAACTGCTTCGTTTATCCTATCTGCGGAACAGTTGTTTGAAAATTGTTTTTATCAACTCGAGAATCTTGACGAAAAAATAAAAATATAAATACATATACAACTTTTGCAGCGTTTAAGTTCAATAAATTTGTAACTTTGTGAATTGTGATATTTAGAACAGGTTTTGTGCATTAATTGGATTCTACTATCCATATATTGCTATAATAAATTGTAACGCTTTATTAAATATTTGGACTTCAAAAACACAGAGATAGAATATTTTTCTTACAAAATATCAAATAAATAATTAACCTAAATAAAACCTCTGAAAAAAGAATTTTTTTCTTAAAAATAAATTATAATTGTGTCACTGATTAATAATGAAAATAATTCGGAAAAAACAAAATGCGCTCTGTAAAATTCAACAAGCATTCAATTAAATCCTCTCTTGTCACGTGTTTTAATTGTTACATTCTCATTTTCCGAGGACACGCTTCGCGGCTTGCGACTACGTCTCTTCGCAAAAATTTAATTTCCTGGCCTACCGGGAAAATCGAATTCTACCCACACGGCAGTATTGCGAACGCAATCGGTTGTATACGCGCAGGAAACGAAATACCAAACAATGTTGGCAATCGAAAGTTTTCGTGTGTCGAGGGCGAAATTCGACGCCGTCGAAGAGAGAAAAAGAGAGGCCTCGTGTCGGAAATAGAGGGCCACGATGCGCACCGCAAACTTCCGCTTGTCACGTGTATATTATGTCACTCTCCCTGTCCTGTCACCGAGTCCTGTCACTTCTTTCGAAACGATATATCGAGCTCGAACCGAAAATCTGAAAATTTTCCGCCGGGCGTCTGACTTGAAAAGTGCAATAAATTCGGCGCATTAATTTTTCGCGAACATCTGCTCTATTGTATTTTAATTAAATCGTTACGGCGCGCGACAGCATTTAATTTGATCACATACAGTCCCAAGTAAATTTTTTATTTGGAAACAATTTTTCCTCCGCAAAAATATTGAGGCATCAATAATTTTCGAGTTATAAGCGATTGAAAATAAATGGTTTTTTGCAAACTATATATAAGCCTTGTGGAAATAAAAAATATTAACAAAACCATATTCTCCAACTAATTTTAAATAGAATTTATTTAAAAAAATTTTTTTAAATTTAAGGTTTAGTTGTAAAGATATATATGATGGCGAAATTGGGAACATGCAAAAAATAAGCGAGTTATATGGTAAGCGATTGAAAATAAATGGTTTTTTGCAAACTAAGCCTTGTGGATGTAAAAAATATTAACAAAACTACATTCTTCAATTAATTTCAAGTAGAGTTTACTTAAAAAAAAATTAAGATTTAGTTATAAAGATACATGATGGCAAAAATTGGGAACATGCAAAAGATAAGCTATTGAAAATTAATGCTTTTTTTACAAACTAAGCCTTGTGGAAATAAAAAATATTAGCAACATCACATTCTCCAATTAATTTCAAGTAGAATTTACTTAAAAAAATTTTTAATTTAAGGTTTAGTTATAAAGATATGTGAAAAATTGGGAATGTGAAAAACTGATGGTCTCGACATTTTTGTTGAGGAAAAATCGTCTCGAAATAACGAGATAGATCTACTTGTATATTTTCGACGTGACACTTTATGTCAGACACCCTGTATCTGTATATGAAATTCTAGCGAAATCCCCTTTAAAGGGCGAATGATACATTATTTACCTTTCGTGCGCCGCGTTTCGAGTGCAAATTAATTAAAATTAATTGTAATACGTCATAAACACGCTGGTTACTGCAGCTTTAATCTGTCGGGAGGTTTGTTTTAATGCATCGCGCGATGCAACTATATTTACATACCTATAGTCTTCGTTGCCAATTACATTACTACTAACCAAATTCCGGTGTGTATAGGATTGGATGGAAAGCGGGCAATTCTGGATTGAGCGCGAAACTCCATCTTGGTCATCTTCGCCATCTACGATTGCTTGCACGAGCGAGTGATTTAACGTCCCAGGGTGTTTGTTCTCGTAACATTCTCGGGATTTGCACACCCGGATAAAATCTTAAGGGGATCCTAAACGTCCTTGAGAAGTCTGCTGTTCTTTTCCTGTTTTATCGACAAAATGTGAAGTTAGATAAACTATAAATCTATTTATTTATAATATATATAATAATATATATATATATATATAAATTTATTTATTTATAATATATATAAAATAATATAAAATTATTTATAACATATATAAAATAATACAAAATTATTTATAATATATATAAAAATAATATAAAATTATTTATAATATATATAAAGAGCTTTGCCCTTTGTTAATATTAAATATTTGTACAAATTAAAGTATTAATATTAACAAAGGGCGAAACGCTCTAATTTTAAATAAAAACAAACCAGTAAATAGATTTATAGTTTATCTAATCTCACATTTTGTCGATAAAAACAGGAAAGAAACAACAGATTTTTCAAAGAAGTTTAAGATTCCCTTAATCGCGATTGATTCGACCGGCATCGATAGAGCGACTCTTGATCTCGGAAACGCCGTTCTAATTACCGTCCCTAATTAAATCAACACCGGTTTGCTATTACAAGCGAGCGAGAGTTGTGAGATAATAATATGGGTGCAGAATAGACCGGAAGTTTCCCGTTCTCGATAAATTCGAGCGCCAAGTTCGCGCACCCTTGTATTATTATTGCGTATCATATTATTATTATTATTATTATTATTACATATATATACATAATACATTTTCTCGAATTTACCCACTTAGTTTAAATCTTGTTACAATTACACACTTATTTTTAATCCTGTACGAAACAATTCATGTGTATAATTATTCTAAATACGAGCGGTTGATTTTCTCTAAGTTTCTCCCTTATGAACAATCAAACTTTAATTGTAAAATATCAGAAATGTCGTGTATGGAACCTTGGAATTAATTATTATTTTTCTGACAGACCACAATTTCTCTTGTAATAACTTAATACGATATAGTCAGCGACCTAATTAAATTTTAATAGGATAAAGTTGAGTATGTCATTAATAGAATGTAATAAAAAGTAATAAGATACATTTATATTAGTAATAAGATCAACGCAGAATTTGTCGTATAATATTTTATTCTATATCAAATTTTCTTATACTACTCGATTAGCGGGATTGAATAAATTTGATATCTTATAAGTCTTGCAAATATTATTATGTATATGACAATTAAATATGATCGACGAATAAGATGAAAAAATAATCCAGTCTTTTTTTATCACAGTTTTGATAACACGCGTCATCGCCGACAAAGTCTTGTTGTCTGTAAAATAACAATTGCTCATAAATTATGCAGCAACGCATCGTACTTTGTATCGACTTTTCGATCGGCTACACTTCCGTAATTATTAATGCAAGTGTCGACATGGATCATCATTTTTCCTGATATATAACAACACGCCGTCTTCGCGAGTTCGTCAGTAGTACAGTCAAGTTTTGATCAGACAGAGAAAAGAAATATTAGAATCGAATCGATCGCGAAAGAGTGAAAATTTTATTTAAAAAAAAAAAAAAAATAATAATAATAATAATAATAAATATTAAATTCACGCATTTATTAAGCTTGGTCTAAAAATATCGTATCTCTCTCTTGATTTTTCTAAATAAACAAAAATAATAATGGCATATCGATATTATTATACATCGTCGAAATCTGAAAAATATATCGCAATTGCGAAATATCATTCTCTTCCTTTTTGTGCGCGGAACAAAAAATTGCGTCGGCTTGTATTTTGTTTCGAAGGAAAAATGAAACGCGCACTCCAATTTTATCGACATAGCAGAATTTTTCACTTGGCACGACGTGCCATGCCATGAATGTCACTCGATACATGAAATTCCAACACATTCCCGTTATAATATAATACGTAAAAATACCATTAATATTACAATATTTGAGTTAAGAAAAAAATCACGCAAAAAGATCTATTGTGCGCGGATAATTTGATGAATAAAGTGACGTAGATGAACGGTCTTTCTGCTTTGAAAAAAGTAAATTAATACTTCGATGTTTCATATATATTATACATATTCTATTCATATATTTCAAACAAAACATACAGAGAACCATTTAATTGGGCAATGTAAATTATTTCGTCACTTCAACGAAACAGCGTGCATGTGTCGGCAAAAGTTATAATGACATTCTATTGGCGAAACGTAATTCTCTCGATTTCATCATTCGCTATTCGATATATAAAAATAGCGTCAGTTTTGTCGGGAGTGGTTACACATGTCTGCGGATTCGCCGCAAATATTAATTAATCGTTATTGTTTTGCCTACTCGATCGAATATCGAGGTACAGCGAGATACAATTAAAATTGTTGTTATCCTCGATCGTGAAGGGAAAAGATGAATATAAATGCTGTAGCATTTATAATATATTTATTTATAATATATAGCATTTATAATATATATTTATAATATATTGTACACATATATAGATGTATATCTTGTTTTATGTTAATTTCCCTGATAAGCCTTGGATTATATGCAACGGGGGATAGATATAAAGGATATTTTTGCGCGCCGTCGACGAGTTTCTTCGGGAATTTCGTTCGATAAATTTACATAACGTGTGTTGTATACAGTGCATTCCGCTGTTACTAAACGGGGCGTAAAACGTTAGCATTAAGTAACTTCGCGATCGAAAACGCGATAACGGCTTGAAGCTGGCTCGTTAATCTTCCTTAGAACGGACAACCTTATCGCGTATCGACTTCCGCGTTTAAAGAATAGTCACGTCTACCTAAACGAGGGAGAGAAGTATGCGGCAACATTCCGGTGTTTGACAGCCCTCGAGATTCTACGAGATGCTAACCGCATGCTAACCCTTACGCTTCTTTTCAGCATCGAAATTAGGGCTGTCAAATCCTGTGTTTATTTCGCGATATGATATTCTATTTGTATTTTCAGTCAAATGTAATCTTTCATGTCTTAAATCATTTTTTTAATATAAAATAATTTTACAGTTTATAGCTCGTACGAATTAATATATAATAATAAAGTATCATTATTTTTTTTTAATTATTGCATTTAATGTATTTTATTTATATAAATATATTAATATATTAAAAAAAATATATATATATATTATATGCATAATGTTATAATATCTTGTTTATATTTTTAGTAAATATGTTTATTGTGTTTTAAATCATTTTTCTTAAAATTATTACAATTGATATCTTTTAATAAATATTTGACGATAAATATGAATTACACATATATGTTATATTAAATATAACATACATCATATATAATATTAAATTATATACATAAATAAATCAAATCTCTTTATTTCTGTAAAAATATATCGAGTTGAGTCTCTTTTTCTTAACATTGATTTTTTCTTCTTTATCAAGATTAAGCATTCCACGGGGTTAAACTTTTTTCTGTATTAATTCTAGTTCCTTTCTTACATCCCCTGTCGAAGAAATTAATTTCCCACGCGTTTCGGAAAGGTAGAACAACCCCCGTATTCTATCACCCTTTGGATTTGTTCAACAAAACAGAATCTCGGAGGCCAACACGAATCGAGATGGGAAAATCGCGCGTGTTTGTGCCATCCTGCGCCTTATCGCGCTTCGGGGTTGAAACACCCTTCGGTCGAATCCTCCATATATACTGTACATATATTGGTAAACAAGTAAACAGAGCATGTGGCGGCGTAATAATTTCCTTATCGCCAATCGTCGTGTAATCGTTCTCGCGTGACTCGCACGAATCGCTTAATCCAATTCCGTTTCTTAGGTGGGTCTGAACTTACGCAGGACAGCGCTCTTCCGTTTCTACGCGAATCTTTCCTCGTTGCATAGCGCGATGCATAATGCATGAGAGAGGGCGGAAATAGTGAGAGAAGCTCGTTTGAGGCTATAATAATAATAATAATAACGCAAGAGCGCCAGAGACATATGTATGTAGGTTTATTATTGCTAATAAATCGAAATTAGCAGCTGCGCACAAAAGCCCATTTTATTACACGCTCAATTAATCTGAAACTTTTCATTAAACCGTAAATAAAATATTTACCTCGTTTGAAACAAAATATTGGTAAATTTTATTCCATCGCATTATTTAACCATTCAGGCAGGAATTTAATTTTCAAATAATCTGCGTCGTATGAATTTTTGTGTCGAGTGAAAAATTTTTTAGTTGAAATATTTTAACACTAATATATATATATATAATTTTTACCTGTCTTTAGAAAAGTGTAACACCTCAGGGAGGGATATAAGAGTATATATTTATATGAGAAACCTCCTATAATTTTCGTCAAAGATAGATCTAAAATTTTTCGTTCTTATTTAGATACATCCTGTATATATACATATATTTAAATATATTTATATGATTATTAAAAGACATTAATTAAAATAATTTTAAGGAAAATTATTTAAAACACAATAAATATATTTGATTAAAAATATAAACGAGATATACATTATATTGTACAATACATTATTTTGATTATTTACATATATATATATATATATATATATATATATATATGATGTTATAATAATCTTCTAATTGATTTGTGCGAAATTTGATACAACGGAGGACAAACTGTACTTTGTAATCGCATTAATGTGTCAAACTAATAGAAAATTATGCGCGAGAACGAATGGCATTGTTGCACATATCAATCTGCGATTGTCTCGTCGATTGCAAATGGGATTGCGATTCGGCCTTCCGTGACGATTAATTAATTATTATGTAGAGATCGGACTTTAATTAGCACTGCACAATGCTACAATCAAGTGCGCGCATAACGCGGCCCGATAAATTAAACGCGTCATAAAACTGACGATGGCGATGTTTTCGATGCACCATAAAATTGTTGCCCGTCAGTCATGCGTTCTGCATTGCATTTTCTCATCAAATCTATTTACCGTAACAATACTTTTTTCGATGAATATATTTATTTATAGCGACCACCGTCAAGTTTACATTACAAAAGTGCGTCACGCAAGCCGCGGTAAACATTGTGTTTATATACAGATTTATTGCACTGCATCTGTTTATCTCTCATCAC